GCTAAATGTGTGATTGATTGCCTTCACATGTGCTTTCATTTATAAAGCTCCATTTATTCAGTGATTGCATTTATAAAGAAAATCTGGATAACAGGGGCAGTTCTAATTTTTTTCATCTACCAAGTCACTGTTTCAAATAAAAAAAAAAATAAGACTTATGGTAACTGAAGAGCACACAATTCACATTTTAAAAAAAAAAATGCCAGCTATTTTATCCTTTCAGTGTGGTTAGCAAGGCTCCTTTGTGTCTACAAATTTCCCTGGGTGGTGCTGTTGCCAAGAAATTCTAATTCATGACAAGGTTTTCTGCAAACTGGGGACAGAGGCAAACCTGCGGATGCGGGGACCCTACAGTTTGCTTTGTCTTTCTGGCTGAGACAGCACCTGGCTGGTCCAGCCTATAGAAGGCAGTGCAAAGGCAAGATCGCCATACAGAGGGAGAAGCAATGCAGCTCACAGATCAAACCCCATCCCTTGCACCATGAGGCTGTTCTTGGAAGGCAACCATTTTTGTAGGTTGGCCCCTAGAGATGCCTCATACCAAAGGCCCTTGTAAAAGTGTTTCAGGGTGTCTGAAACCAAGATGAAATTGCAGTGTTATGGGGATGCTTTAGTTCTTACAGTAGCCAAGTATGCCATTAGTTTAAAACAATGGGGAAATGGAGGAGGAGGGAGGAATGTTCTATGATTTATTTATTTGTTTCCAGTAGCAGTGGAAAATTTTCTCTGAGCAAAAGGAAGGCCTGAAACTGACCCCATCTGCCAATTATGAATCAGCATTAACAACAAGCATAATTCCATAAGAGTTTTCAAGTAAACATACCATGCTTCTCAATGGCATGAAACACAGCTAAGTGCATATAAGACAGAACATCGTTACTTAACCTGCACTTACAGAATAGCAGGCTGAGTATAAAGAATATATCCAAATTCTAAAAGTCTTTGTAGCTTCCTGAAGAAAAACAACCAGGAATAGTATATCAAATCCTTTTTGTTTTCCAAATCAGTAGTTGATCCAGAAAAATCATGATTTCTATTTGTAACAAAACTCATGAATGGCTCTTCCTTTATCCATCATCAAGTGGTACTCTATAAGCTACTCCAGCTTCTGTCCTACCTTTGACTTTTTCCTACTTTTACTCAGACAGCTCTTGGAAAATTTCCTGCAAGTTTCCAAAGAGCTTAAGGCTGGTAGCTTTAAGACTTGTGCGTCAGCTGAATTCCATAAAATAATAGACCACATAAGCACTGTGTAATTTACAGTTATGTGACAGGCAGAGATGATGTTACTGGGGCCAAGTGCTTGAGTATGCAGTCAGAGCCCAGGAATGGAGGGCAGTTAATATAGGATATCTGTCTAGATTTTAACATTACACCATTTTAACATTACACCAGTGATGATTTGGAGCTGTATGTGGATGAGTTGGAGCTGTATGTGGATAAGACATCACTGCTTGAAAACTCAATGTCAAAATGATGACCCCCACGACAGAAGGGCCATCACAGCATCAGTGACTATTAAGCAGGACAATTATCCCAGACCATACGTTTAAAATAAAATCCCCAAATAGTCCATCCTCAATTTTCAAATGCACAGATGTTTTGGGATTTATCATCCAAGCCACTCTTCCTCTACAAATGAAATCAGATTATTGGAATCTCTGTATTTTGCTCATCTCCTCAAGGACAGGTACACTGTTCACTCTCAGAAGAACATCTAATAATTGCTCCTTATTTGACCTCTAAAATCTGATTACTCCAGAGCATGAGGAAACTTCCTCCTGCCTGGGGTTCTTTGTAGCAACCTTCTTGAGCCTTTTTGAGCAAAGGGCTCAAAATTTCACCATCTGATGGTCAGTGTGGAACCAACAGTTGCATATAACCATCTCCCTCCTTACACTCAGAAGGCGGGGGGGCGGGGGGCAGGGAGAGGGAGGAAGGAAAAGATAGAGGTTGGAGGTTTTGCCATCAGTATGAACTCAGAGTCAGAGTCACCTTTATATAGAGCAGTCGTGACTACAGATTCCAGAGCAGAAAACTCCTTGGAGTGATCTCTTATTTTTATTTTGGAGTGCTTCCCCACAAGTTATGTTTCAGTAGGGACTATGTGCAAGCCCCTGAAATAGCTTGGCAAAGCATTTTAAGGTGAAGGTAGTTGGCAGTTGGAGAGAGCTCAGGCAAGAAATAAGGAGAGAGGTGCAGGGGGGTGAAAATTCCTTGGCCTGCAGATAGAAACTAAGCTAGAGGTTCCTTGAAAAGGGAGAGATGGTGGGGGGGGGGAGGGAGGAGGAGGGCAGGAAAAGCTGAGAAAGCTTCTGAGGAAACAATAGATCTAATACACCCCTAAATCACCAAACCAGTGATGTTTCTTTGCAGATCTAGACTTTCTCCTGGATGGTCTAACCAGATCTAGAAAAGCAGGTTTCCTCTGGAGGGGCCTTCCCCAAAAGCAGGCTTTACTACTGTGAAAACTTGAACCAAAACAAAGTTGTGTGATTCATCAGGAGGGAACGTTGTAACAAATAAAGCCAACTTTCTTCTCTCCAACCCCCCTTAATAGTTAGTCACAAACAAGAGCTGCCTTAGGCAGGCTGAGTAAAATCAACAGATTCCCTTCCCTAACCTGTCTAGACAGTTGTTAATACCCAACCATTCGACACCAGTGGGCTGACAGTGTGAAATGAAGGCTATTTCAGAAAATGAAATTCTGGCAACATTTCAGTTTAATTAGCATGTGAAATAAAAAGAGGAAAAAGATCTAGTGAAACCCTTCATAGGACAGTTTTGCTAAAGATGGGGTTGGGGGGGCAGGAGAAGGAAGCACTGAAGAAATGCCTTATCCTAAAAACGTGTGAACTGTGTATGCATTTAGAGAGAGCCAAAATCAAAGGAATCTGCCAGCATCTTTGGGCAGGAATGAATATGTGGACACACAGACACCTGGAGGAAAACTCGCAGCCTCTAATCAGGGTAGAGCAGCAACTAGTAACAATGGTATAGTCAGAGGATCAGCTTTGCCACTCCGATGGTTATACCAAAAGCCAAACCTTACTCGGGAAAGCAGCAACTGTTACATCCAAGCCTCAAGCTGGCAAATCTCGCTTTGGATCCCGGCAGAGGAAATTTAGCCGTTCATTAGCCTTAACAAGCTGCTGTCACCGAGCAGAGAAGTTACATGAGCAGCCACACACCAAGCCTCTCACAGCCCTCTACAAGGGCAAGCGGGTATCTCCAAGATGGACTGTGCAAGTTCACACTTTTGATGTGCAAATATGGACTGTTTTCTTGGACTTTCCTTGGTGCACATTGTAGAATTTTTAAAGAATACTCATGTCCCTCCACCTCCCACCCACCATATTTCCTGCAGAATGTCCCCTCAGCAGCTCCTAATCCTTGCTGACAAAACCATTATTTCCACAGCAGATCTAGCACTTTCCACTGACCAGCACTTTCTTTATTCCCCTTGACAAAGCCCAGTGAACTTGTCACCAGCCCCACTTTGCCCCCACTGGGACCGCTAGCCAACTTGGCATTGGTGCCCTTCAGCATCCTAGGAGTTTCTTAACTAGTCCTCTAAGACAAAGTCAGAGGCATGGAAGCACACATCACCCTTTGTCAGAGATTGTGTTATCTAACTGGAGAGGGACCCAAAAAAGAGAGAGAGAGAGAAACAAGGACACACATGGAGGGTGTTTTCTTTCTGGAAGCAGTGCATCGGGAAAACCTACAATGCACGGTCAGCATTAGGTAGATACATCTTCCCGTCCTCCTCCTAGATATCCTTGAGTATCTTTTGTCACTGGGCTCCTCTCGCTGCTGTCCACCTTCAAATCTCAAAATCAAGTTCCTATTCTTTATTGACATTCGCTAATTACTGGGAAAACACTCTGCTTTGCT